ATTTCTACACTAATTTTTGATTACTGTATTTAAACTGAAACTCATAGGAAGACAAAGTAAACATTGACTTATTTGATTTTATTTTGACCACGCCTGAAAATCTGTTTGAGTGAGTGTGTCTGAGCGGATGCGAAAGGGGGCATTATTACTGTTTTTTGCATCTTGCTGATTGGCCAATGTCACGAAGTAAACAAGGAAGTCTATGCCGGAGGAAACATCTAAACGGCGGTTTTGACGATGAAATTTTTTTATTTATAATCTACGCTCGAGGAATAAATTACATTTTTTTACGTAACAGAATTTATCGTGAGACACGTTGAGACTAAATTTTCTTATATCCTAAAAATTCTATTAAACAGCTACACGTTTAACGAGCCTACAATTTAATTATAATTAAACAAATGGAAACACGAAGAAAAGTTGATGCCGAGGGCAGGGGTTCAATAGCGCAGTCAATATTCGAATATATTGCAATGCAATAAGCAAATTCATATTCTATTCGAGAGATTCATCACGCTTAATTTTTGTAAGAATGTATCTTCTTAAAGAAAATCCTTATCAAAATTTCACAAATCATGCGACAATATTCACTTCGATGTTTGGAAGTACATATTTGTGCGAACAATTATTTTCGAAAATGAACATTACAAAGCATAAGCAAAGAACTGGGATTAGTGATGCCCATTTAGAAAATGTTCCAATCTTGGCGTCGTAAAGCTATCCAGCGTGATGCAGCAAGAAGACAATGTCACATCAAATGTTATTGTAATATTATTTTAATAAGACGACTGATTTGATTTCACGAACTGTTGCAGTTTTCGCGCGCTGTTCCGTTTTTAACTTTCAAAAAATATATGCGACCCGCAAAAGACTAGCAACCCTGAATTTTGTCCCGCCGCGAGCGACATAAAAATTTGCCGACCCCTGGGCCGTAGCCGATAGTCGGTCACGGCTTCTTTCACATCCGAGTCCATAAATCCAAAAACAAATGGCTTATTAATTATGGACTGGAGGTTGTGGTAGGATGAGGAATCGGGGATAAATTTTACCGAAGTATTTTGGTGCAGGTCATCAGGCTGTAGGAATGAATGAGATGTACGAAAATCATTATTATAAGTTTGGGAAAATTAACTTTGTTTTCGTTATTTTAATGTGAAATGAGGTGAATTTAGGAAGTGAAATGCTATAAGGCAAGAGTACACGCAAGAGAGCGGTTTTTGAGAAGGTAGAACCCTGGATTCTTTTATTTCCGACCTATTATAGGGTGAAAACGGGGTTTTAAGCCGTGCTACTACTGCTATCAAGACAACGAAATCGCCTTTCCACCAGTAAACGAAGTAATTTTAGATATAATAAAAAAACTCGCTGAAAATCGCCAAGCTCATCTATCTCATTAAAGACACTATAAACTATGATTTGTCTTCTTATTTGGTCTGTAATATATTCGTTTCTGACTTTACATATTTTTGTATTGCCGGGGGGCGATGAAGTCGTATAAACTCATGTAGGGGGGCGGTGACCGAAAGAGTTTTGGAACCACTGGTTTAGTCTACACGAGTCTCACAATAAATTCTGTTACGTAAAGAATATACCCTATTTCCCGGCTAATAAGCCGCTATTCTAGACCCAATTTTCCGGCCTGATTTTGGGGGGAGGGCGGCCTATTCGGCAGGTATGTCTATTTTGTTTTTATGTGGTCCGCTTGTTTTTCGCAGGAGTCTTCTCAAACATGATTTGTGTTAACCTTATATTTAGTTTACTATATTTTATCATGTACTCGATAACGCCAAAGGGTCTACCAATCATGATATTTGATTAACTTTATACTTGCAGCTGTTGTTATTTGTCATATTCTTTTTAAAAACTCCCTTGTAATCATAACTGACTGGTGTCATGAAGCACTCTCTATTCACGAACAACTCCCGCCGTTATCGGTAATGTAAAGTGAAAACACCGAGATAAAGTGATTTATGACCTTCTGTTTTGCTGATTCGACGGAAAACGACACAGACAGGAAAACACAGCTGCAAACCCACGGACGTACAGTGTAGTACTTATCACGCCATATGCAAAGGTTATTTCAACGTTTGGGTTAATAAGTTGTTTAAAATAATGGTCGCTTTTTAACTTAAAATTACCGCTTTATTGTTAAGAATAATTAATTTTGAGAGTATGATTCTACCAAACAAACATGATCTGGTTCTAACCATATAAAATTATTGGTTATTCAAAATGATTGCTGGTTTTTAACTTAAAATTACCGATTTATTGTTAAGAATAGGTAATTCTGTGAGTATGATTCTACCAAATAACCATGATCTGGTTCTAACCTTATAAATTTTTAGCATATTAGTGTTTAACTGACCAACAGAGAAGCAATTTTTCTTTCCGTCATATTGAAGGGCTGTATGAAAAAAAAAATCTTTTTTGTTGCTAAAGAATTAACATCGTCTTATTTGCGGGGTAGACTTATTAGCCGGAGAAATACGGTAATCTTTGAGGTAGATTATAAAATTTATTCATCGTCAAAACCGCCGGCCGAATTATTTTACTCCGCGGGCCGTAGGTTGCCGACCCCCGGCCTACAGGTTTACAAATTTTAAAAGTCATAAATTACGCATTAACGATCACAAAATTGAGTTTTATTTAAAAGCAGCAATTTTTTGTGTAAGTGCGCAGTGAGTTTTTTCCCCGATACAAGAAGTTTGGGAACCGCTGACCCATGAAGTTTTTCAAGGAGTATTGAATGCGATGTATGTATGTTTATTTGCCTCAAAAATGGAACAGTATCTGCATAATAATTGAACAGTATAACAGAGACGGGATACATGTTCAAGACCTTACTGGCCTAAAACACGGATGTGCGAAATGTACCCCTAACAAGTATAACTGCAGTTTAAGACTGTTGTGTTATAGTAGGACAACAGACATGAAATATACAAATAAAACTCTAGTACAGTGGTCCTTAAACTTCTTAAAAAAAAATCCGTAACGGACCATGTGCATTTTTTTTAATGATTCCCGCCTTTTGTACTAAAACAAAACATTAAAAGATCACAACAAAAAATTAATATAGTGAAAAACATTAAAACGAACAATTTGCGTTCCTAAAGTATTATATACCCCCACCTTCACGCTAAGACACTTGCTAAAAATAACCCGGATTGTTTTATTTTCCGCTTGCATCGCGCTAAGCAAATTAGAGGAAAATACTAAATCTCTTTTAATATAACAGCTGAAAAAAGAAACATATATGTTCCATCATATTATGTTTCCTCTCATTTCGTTTCCCGCCACTCGACTGGAAGCATAACTAATGCGAATAAAATAGATTAAATGTTTATTTTAGAATGGAAAACATGATTGTCAATTAACGTGACCGGCCAATGAACTTATTTAGTTATAGTTAGTTCTCTTTAAATATACGCGAACGATTTCACTCTGAACGAAGTTTAAATTAAATTTCTATTTCATTCAATCATGTCATGGCGTACTATAACTTAGTCGCAGCGCAGGTGTGCTGTTGCAAATTTTTATCATGAAAATCATCAAATTGTCATGAATTTTAAGGTATATAATATTATACGATCCATTTAAATTCGCGTATAATAGAAACTTGCATGATTCCTTTGAATACTGAACTAGCAGTTTAGGGATAAAAACGTCACACAGCATCTCGAGTACTGAGTAAAAGAGTGTGTTGTGCTGAACTTGAAAAAAATGACGGCAGATAAGTAAAAGTCAATTACGATTTTCATTATTGTCCCGCCGTGTGAGAGTTGTTTGGAGTGCCGAAAAAATGCATTCGGCAGATTTAACGCCGCCGATAACAAGGATGAACAAGCGTTCAAATGTTTGTTTTTCCTCTGTAAATCGCTCTCTTTTTCCGAATCGCGTAAATCTGATTCGAAAAAAATGCAATTCGATAAAGAACCGCGAACCCCACTTTGGAAACCACTGCCCTAGTACAATACACAATACAAGACAAAGAGGTACGGACGACATAACGATAACATATAAGATTCAGGCGCAGAAAAAAATTGTGTATGTCATTCATATTTGTGATGAAAATATGTAGGATGCCAAGATTAAAATACTTTTAGCAATACAAAGCGCTCACCTAATGATCGATGGTGGGCTACGTCGTTACCATGCGAGATTATTAAAACAATCTTTTTAATTTTAAAATTCCAATGTTATCAGCGGGTGTGCTTTATCAAAATTATGAAATTGTGTATACTGATAAAGTCAAAAATTATTCAGGAGGATTTAATAAACTACATCATTGTGAAGTTATTAAACTGCAGTGAAGCGTGCGTAATATGCACTATAGGATACGGTACAGTTTCTTCAAATTGCTATACAATAATGTGGCAAACCTTAATCTATAATTTGGGGGTCACAACAAATTTATGAGCATACGCAGTAGAAGAAATTGGTATTCAGTTACAAAAATATGTCACTTTTGAGCCTTGAGCTTCCACAAATGCATTTGTAATATTGAGTATTCTATTTTCTACAAGTATTCCAGACTTTGACTCAGCCTGTTCATTTGTCACAAACAATAGTACCGAAAGTATTAAAATAGTGCAAGATGGTGGATCTGTAAATGGGTCATAATATCGTTTTATGTCAGCAATGTGGAATAACTAAATAACAGTATTTCATAGAACAAAGGCAGCCGGAAATGAGCAACAAAGTATGAGTATGAGTGAGCAATACTTTTAATGTTCGAGTAGTAAATAGTCCATGTATCGATGGTGTTTGAATATTTTTTTGCGAAGTCGAAAGAAGGAGGTTGTGTACTGAAATTAATTTATTGCACTTGGTCACACTTCACCAGATAAATTATTTATGATGTATTAGAAGGAAATTTACGCAGTATTTAAAAAAACGTAGGAAGGTGTGCACCATTTGATATTGAGAACTTGAACACTTTTTTGGTGTGTTTTGATCGTGTAGATAATTATAAATTGTAGGATCGTGAATTAAAAATGTGTTTTTATTCAGTTTAGAAAAATGACAGATCCCACTTATGATTATGACCTTGAAGATTATGATAACTATGAAGATTCTGATAATTATGAAGATTATGATAATAATGAAGATTATGATAATTATGAATATAATGATAACTATAACGATACCTATTATGATGATATTGTGGAAAGCCATGCAAGAGCAGAACAAGATAGCAACGTCCCTCTGTTGGTATTCCGGATTGTCGTTTGTGTGTTTGGTTTATTCGGCAATGTTCTCGTGATTTTTGTCATTCTGAGGCTTCGGGAATACAAAAAAGCCGTGACGCATTGGTGAGTCCCTCATTTATTAGTTATTGGATATTGAATTTTTTTTATGAAGCAGAAAGAAATTTAAAATATTCTTGTTAGAAGCAGGGAATTTCACCTAACCGAAGTTCCACATTGAAAAGAAAGGGGATTTTTATATTGTTTCAATCTGAGTGTGAACCCATTCCGAAATCATTAAGAAGCAACTAGAAAGTGAATATTCGTCAGCAGGAATATTATGTTCCTTCAACCTGCACTGAACCTGCAAAAAGTTGTGATACTCGTGATACATCATCTGTATTGCTTGACATTTGGACAATTACGTAACCTCTGTACATTTTGCGATGTCAGTGCAAATTTTCAACACAGCGAAAGCTCCAGATCATCAATTAACGGTTTATGTGTACGTGGGTCATGCATGAAAGAGCATGCGCCAAATCGCTTGTTGTCGCGGCTCAGATGGTATTGCAAATTTATGTATTTGGAGACTCCCTAAACTCACGTGAAAAATATTCCATGAAAGTGATCAGCAAAAGATTGTCGGCTGAATAATTTATTGCACTTAATTTTGTTACAGTCCAACTGGTAAATTATTACTAGAGCAAATGAAAAAAAGATACAATTGTTCACGCGTAACGGTTGCCATTAATCACACTCACATAGTATTGATTGAATATAATGTAAAAAAAATGTTGGTGATTATGAATCAATTTTAATCGTATCGCAAGTAACTCAAACAAATTTTCAATTTTAAACTAATTATCGAAAATCAGCGATTAGACAAAAAGAGTAATCGATAAATCGCAGATTCTTTCTTTTTCAGTCGCGCGTTTGCATACTTATCACGGTGACAGCACATTTAAACCCGCGTACATTTGAACACATACATTTGCACCCGTATATCCGCGGGTTCAATCTATATGTGGGTGGTAAAATCTATGGGTTAGGGTCAGTATGAGTTCAAATGTACGTGGGTTCAAATGTAATGGAACCACTTACCACATTTCTCATATATTCTGGTGTTGAACAAGGTTGAAATCCATGATGGCGGACCGGTAGTTCCAACTTCCAACCCAGTCTGTTTCAAAATATTTTAGAAAACTGTGAGGATTTTATTCGATCAGTCTTTCCAGATTGTTTAAAAATATTTATTGGGACCCAATCCGCCTAATACTGGCAACAGCTTAGAGTTTTCAAGATATTTCAATTGATCGTGTATTTTTGAATGGAATTTATCAGATAACATAAATAGAACGCCCGCCTTTTAGTTTTCATGTAACATATAGAAAATATTGTATAGTATTATAGTCGCAAAAATGTTCCAGGTATGTTCTGCAACTAGCAATTGCCGATTCATTGTTCCTGACAACCCTTCCTTTCAAAGTCATTGAAGATATTCATCATGAATGGATATTTCCTGCGTGGTTGTGCAAAGTGAAAGAAACATTTTTGTTCCTGAACTACTATTCTTCAGTCTTATTTCTAATGGTGAGTTTTCATAGTATATCATGTATATGTATCATCTATTTTAGTCACTAATACTCTATTTAAATTCATTTAACAAATTTATTTGGCGAATGTAAATGACTACAATTCCTGATGTCATTATCGAAATTCCAGATGAAGAAGAGTTGGTTCGCTATTATAATATCATATCTTGCATAACAGCATCTAAATTTCATAATTTTATTAAAGGTTATGTCGATCGATCGTTATGTAGCCCTGTGCCACAGCCGATCTAATATTATTGAGAAGTTGCGTGCAAAACGTGCATCCCAAGTCATTTCGATCATTGTGTGGGTTTCATCTCTACTTTGCTGCATACCTGTTATGATATTCAGTGACAAAATGGGTAACGAGCCGAACTGCAGATGTCGGTAAGTCAGGGCCGGATTTAGAAAAGTCATTTTTATAAAAGTTTATCAAGATTTTATTCTGGAACAAGACTTCACAATTTCAAAACGACTTGCATAATAGTAATAAAATGAATAATAGTCAAAATTGAACGTCGAGTCCTCACCTCTCGTCTAATGGTAAATCCGCTCCTGCGATGAGTAATTACGAAAAAGTACCGCAAACTTTTCCTGTTTACACTCCATTTAAAGGAAGTTAAGACCTATTTTTTATATTACATAAGCATACAATGCATACTGAATAAAAGAAGAAGAGCAAGTTCCATTAGAATATTATATGTCATGAAATCAGCAACGCCCAAGACCTTAGTGATAGTATAAAGTGTATTATTTTGAAATATGACTTGTGTCTGATAGATTTTTCCTATGGATGTCCCCAATGCGTCTGTGAATATTGGTTAGCGTTTGTGAGCTACACAAACGATCTCATCTTCCATTAAAGCAATAACAGATTCTATTAAACAACTGTGTTGCTCTACTTCATACAGTGGTTCAGTGCGTCTCCGCATATTTCACCGAATGTTAAATTTATTAATTTGAAATTCAAAAGGTATGAGTTTCCGGGGCCGAACAGATCACCCGAAGAGATTTGCATGGAAAAAGCAGAATGGATCGATATTGACATGGAAGCGTGCATTCATGAACAAAAGCAAACAAATGAGATCGGAGCTTGCATTACTACAGGAAGCAGCGCTAATTTTAGCTTAACTAACAATCTAAATATCACTAATGAGTGCGAATGTGCTTTTATTGTTATTTAAAAGAATAGTATTTCATATGAAAAATGAAGTCTCGTTAACATACCTCAGGGTAAAATAAATAAATTCATCGAGTGAGATGTCGTGAAATCATAAAATGTTTAAATAAATATTTTCCATTTTACATGACAAATTGTACTTTTCTATAGCTCAAAGTTATTTGTTATTGTGGTCTCTTTGTTCCTATACATCTACCATTAAAGATAGGTTGGTTCAAAAAATATCTAGATGCTAAAATCAAAAATTTTTTGATTGGATAAAGAAACTTGAAAATGGATTTTACACCAAAATAAATATATAAACAGTATAACAAATTGTATTGATATGGGCTCTGTGATAAACATATAAAATACCTTTTAAGTGCGGTTTGAAATCTAGGCTAAAGTCCAACAGTTTGAACTTTACTTACCAATGATTGTTACGAAGGCATTTAAAAAGCATTATTTTCCCCCGTTATTGTATAATAAGTATATTGAAGTTTTAGGAAATGGCTATTTGTTTAAGAGATAACATGCAATATTAAGCAAGTTTTATTTTTCTAAAAGAGTTTTCGAAATCGGAAGTCATAAGCAATGAATTCTAAATTGGATGCGATCGTGTTTGATTACTTAATAGTTGCTACTCAATAAAATTATAAAATTTCAATTTCTTTCATTTGTAATAAAACTATCACTTGAACTATTCTGATTTGTTACTTGGCTACATTTATATTTGATTGTCTTCTAGACTTGATTATTCCGGATATTCATCTGGAGAAGAAACAAACAAAACAATGGACGAGGAAGAATATCATACCGGATGCCATTATCACGACACCGGAAAAGGATGGATAATATTCTTGTTCTTCAACTTCATTGTTATGTTCGTATTGCCACTAATAGTGAGTCCTATAATTTGATTTACTCTGTCTATATATTTACTCTATAACCCATATATACGAAGATTTAAATAACGCCATTTTTTATTTGTTTATTTATTTTCAACCTCTTTTGCATTAATTCTGTAAACTGAAGCGCCGTTTTGTGGTCAGAACATGCAATTAAGTCAAACAAAGTGTGAACAAAACTTCTTCCATTAGTGTTTCTTCAATCTTTTCACTTCCGAAATTCCAAATGAAATGCCATCGATACATTTTTACGCTGAATTAAAGATTGATTCGCTGAGAATTCAGCGCAATCGACAAATTTCCAAATGATGGCTTAAAATTACATTGTACAAAGACCTCACACGTCACTCGGACGAAAGGACCTGCCATCAAAGATGTACAATCTTTCACTTTTCCTTCATGTTTGACCTGGTGGCGGTAATTATAAATTAAACAATGATACTTCATAATATTTATCGTGTGTAATTTTTCTGCAATATTTACAGGTGATGTCGATTTGTTATTCTTTAATCGCTCGCCAGCTCGCGGGAACGGGTAATATTCATGGCAGAAATAATACTACCGAAGAAGACAATAACGTTGCTTCAGCTTCAAGTGCATCAACAAGACCAAAAAAACGTAGAAAATCTGCTGCCTTCATAAAGTCAGAAAAACAAAGAAGAAGGATCACCATAACATGCTTTTCACTAGTGATTCTCTTCCTTGCTTGCTGGCTTCCTTTCCACTCCGTTCATTTAGCAAAAATCAACGGCATTGCGGATAAATCGGTGAGATTTATTTATCGGGTTCCAAGGATGAAAATCAATGAAAAATAAGGGATAGTCTTATATATACAGTTTATCTCATAAACATAAAAATTGAGTCTGGGATTCGAGACAGTAAAAGGCAAATATCCAACGCATTTGCCTTCGTCACAGAATTTGCGGCTTCTGATTTATTTTCAAGAAAAATTCGCATCGTTGATCCACGGCAGACCATACTTAACTAATAAGCAAGAAAGAGAAACAGCAAAAGATAGACTAGTATACAGACAATATAGATATAGAAACCAACTTCTAATTTTACTATTTCTCAATTTTCAGACGAATTTCTGTGCTACGTTGGGAGGAGTGGCTTCTATAATAGCATATCTCAACTCGGCATTAGATCCATATGTCTACAATTTCATCGGAATGGACTTTCGCAAGCGTTTCAAGTAGCAATTTTATTACATTAATTACTTATAAATCTGATTAGTGTTAGATATCGAAAATCAGCCAACAGGCAAAATTGTTTTCAAAATATTATGTTTGCTTTGAATTGAAATTATGATACAGACTATGTTAATACATTGGCGGGTATGTATCTCAAGTGACGCAACATTAAAGAAGATTGATATTAATTGTCCCAAATATTTGGGCATATTAATATTGAAAAAAGCACATATTATCTGAAATATTCTACGGCAGGGGTCGGCAACCTACGGCCCACGGGCCACACCCGGCCCGCGAAGTGAAATAATCTGACCCGCCACGCTTCACTGAATTATAGTAACAAAACTAAATTATATTATAACCTAACAAGTATATAATTCGCAATTACTCGTTTAATGAGCCTATAACTTAATTATAATTAGACGAAAAACAACAAAACGCAGAAAAGTTGATGCTAAGAATTTTTTAAGATGCAATGCAATTAGGAAATAAATCTATATTCTATTGGAGAGATGCATCACTGTTCCGAATTTGACAAACCATGCGAAAAAATTCACATCGATGTTCGGATGTCTGAGAACTCGGATTAGTGATTCTCATTTAGAAAATGTTTTTATCTTGGCCTCATCCAGTGTGCCGCCTGATGTCGCAAACGCATCAAGCAAGATGCAACAAAAAGTGTCACATTAAATGTCATTTGTAAACTTTTTCTCTAAGTAAGTCGACTGAGTTGAGTTCACGAGTTGTCGCAGTTTTTGCGCGCTGCTCAAAATTCAAATCTATGTGAAAAAATTGTGATTCACCGGCCATCCGTTCGATTTTTAACTTTCTAAAAATAAGATCTGCAAGATTTTGGCCGCGACCGACAAAAAGTTGCCGACCCCTGTTCTACGGTATAACTTTAATGAGCCTTCTTTTAAATTGTGACTGGCAAATCTTCCTCATGCAGGAGAGCAACCGCATCATTTCGATCTACTATCCGTTCACGGAGTCGAACTTCAAGATCATCTTCCGAGGCAGGGCCAGCGGTTCGTTATAAAAAATCGAATAAGGGGAAAAATTTATCTTCTAGCGCAACTGCCACAACCAAGATATACCTGCAGTGAGTACTTTGTTTTCCACGGTTATCATATTTTTAACGTGTTAAGTAGCTATATTAATAAATCGTAGTTCACTCCATTGTTCGGTACCACTGGAGATAATCTACCTTCACTATGTTCACTAATTAAAAATGTTTTCTCTGTAGAAAACCATAACAGAAGAATAATGTTAGTCTGATTTTCAGTTATTTTTAGGTACATTCGATTGATGTCATTGTTTCGATTCCTGATTGATATAAATATAGAATACCTACTTTTTGGTTTAGCCAAAGTGGCTCCCAATTGCCATCTGTGACGGATGATAAAACGCGTACGTCTGCAAGTGAAACCGAAATGGAAAGTCGGAAATCTCTGATATAATTTATCTTCGATAAAGCATTGTACACAAAGTTGTTTTTACAATTCGTTGGAGCCTTATGAAAAGATTATCCATTTGCTATGTTTGGTCTATGACGTCTATTAGACATTTTTTTATGTTTGTGTTTTTCGAAATCATCATTCTTTGTTAATATACGAGCACATAAACTATATATATAACTTTATAGACTCTTGTATAACAAATGCTTGATGATATATAATCCCGAATGATTATGAAATAAAGTTATCGAACGATTGATTAATGCATTGCTGGCTTATTTTTCTGCATTATTTTTTCTAATTAATAGTGTATAGTAGACCCATTCTTCAAAGTCACGGATAACCGCTGAAATGCCGAAAACAAGGAAACCATAAAAAGCTAGATGACGCAACTCTTTGTAGACATGTGACTTGAAATTTGTGGCACTTATGTGAATTTCGCCAATCTAATCCATATAAAACACTGAATCTCGGGGTATCAAATGTTCATATTATGATGTAAAGTTCGCGCAAACAAATTGAATTTTTTCAAGCAACAGATAAAGTGATAATAGCAATTTTAAGTTATTATATGCATATAGGAAATACTGAATAATGAATATCATACGTTGAGCACGAGTTAAAAAACTTGAAATCACTTGGTCAATCATTTGTTGATATTGCTACTGCCTGGGAAGACGAAATCAAATAATGACCCGAAATATGATCTTGTTTTGTGCAACGTATTCGAGCGCATACTATTAGCATTCATCGGTCAAAGGGGATTATGATCCACGGTAGCCATCCATCCTCGAATCATGATTTGCTGCTCTAGGATTTCTTCTGGTGGGACAATATGGTAAGTTCATAAAAAAAATAGTACATTAAAATATCTGCAAAACAACAAAACGTGGCAACAGCGGCGAGAACGCAATTCTTTTCCGAGGGTCATCTGTGGACTGATTATTTTTGATAGTCATTTTTAAATTAGTTCTGGGCTCTGGATAGCACATATTCGTTTCTATAATATAACGAACCTGCTGATGTAAATTTCATCAAACCTAGAAGTCATTTGGTTACATTCACAATATCCCGAACAAGAGAGACATATAAATAAAGAGTATATATATATATAAAAGTTGTGCCAGAAAAAATATGTAATGGAAAGATTGATGACTCAAAAACATTGTAAGGCGGCGGTGATAAAAACCGGAAAAAGCTACTCTCAACAGAAAGTGTGTTGAAGAATTCCTATAAAACTAAAATGAGGGCAGATAATTATCAACGAAAAATCATAAAACAAATTTGCAGACCAGTTTTATCTGGACCTAATCACTTGTTTTGTTTAGCGCAAACTGAAACCCAACCAAGGAAGCCTGACAATAAAATATCTATAATGCTCTGCTCCATTTACCAACAAAACGACTCAACGAGCAGATACATATCCTATATTAAAGAAAAATTGCTTTGTTGCAATATTTACGTATTGAATGAAAGAATACTTATGATTCATTCAGTGAATATGCAGAGCTATTTGAAACAAATGACAGCCATGATTATTAACATAAATATTACCTCTCGTCACTTTCGGGGATCGTCAAGCCATGCTGTGACGAACGAAGTCCTAAATTTCGAAGGGTATCTCCAATGTAGTCATATTGTTTGCTATAGTTGCCACAATAGCATATAACAGTTTTATAAAACAAAAATTACTCTGTCACACTTCACTGTAAGCCCAACATGCATTTTGTCAACACCTTACAATTCACATCCATATAAAACAAAATACAAGGAGTCCTCGGTTTACGACGGTCGCGACTTTCGCTGTTTCGAGGTTACGAACGCGCACTCCATAACGCTGTTTCGAGATTACAAACGCACTCCATAAAAATATAATACTGTACTAGTGTACTGTAATATCTAAGCCCCTAATAGTCCGGCAGAATCGGGCCTTAACATTGTTTTGGGACATAAAGTTTTTTTTATTGTTTAGATATAATGTATATGACATATATAATGATACCCAGGTGGGTGTGGAGTATATAATGTTGAGCAATTTTTTTTAAGTGGATTTAAAGTATTCGGTCCAAGATGACGCACATCCTGAACCCCCACCTGGTAAGCATACAATATTCAGGTTGTGCGCCATCTTGGTACGAATACTTCAGGAGCGCCCTTTTGTTAAAAACAATTATTTCATAACTACATGGTTTAGTTTTGCATACATAGTAACATTGAATCTCCTTACAATGTCAGAAATTCAATTTTAGTAGAATAAATGGTAGTTTATTTCACTAATACAAGCCAAGATCCATCGACAGCATCTAGCCACTTTCTATTGCGCTCTTCAAACTACATTTGCGTTGCCGCGCGCATTTCGTTTTCCTAGTTTAAGCTTAGGGACTTATTTTATTAGTTGGATTGGATTGGAATATTTGACCTCGTCTTTCACTCCGAACAAGGCCATGTAAAACCATCCACTGGTATCTGAAGATGTGTAACGTGTTTTCTTTTGGAAGAACCGCAACCTTTCAGTGCATTGACTTTGGCAAAATTAATATATCCTTGTGGAGATAGAAGGTATGCGTATGCGAAACCGAGATGTGCACCTGTTATGCCAACATAGTTGAGTCAAACGTTTTGAATACTAGTACATCACACACATTTTGCGTGCTTCGGTTGTACGTAGTAACGCGCACATTTTCACAATTCCACTTGATTATTGAGCTATAGGTTTTTGACGAGCTTTTGTGTATGATTCATTCCATAGAATTTGTATGCTGTTCTAAAGAATACTAGTTTCAGCTTTGCGTGTTGAAAGTAAGTTTTGTAATATTGCGTGTTGGTTTCCAACATCCTTAAATCGGTGATGCCAGTAAATCTTTAATACAAAAAGATCAGTAACATCTGCAATAAAAACAGCAGTACCCACTCAAATGACAGCTGGGGGATGGATACTCTTAGTATCTGCTCCATCGCGTGCCTCTTACAGTCTTACCAGTTTACATAGTGCCAATTGGTATCTGCTCAGCCAGAGAAAAAAGTTTCGGACTGCAGTTGGCGTGACGAAATGTTTTTAAATATATATTCTACAATAAGATTATTTGATTGTATACTACTGAAAGTTCCACCTTATATGTCTTTTCCCATTGCACTATTCCTTTACTGATATTCGATAATATGAGCTCACTGACATAGTTCTTAAAGTGTGTAGATGGGTATAATCTTTTCCACCTGTTCAGGTGGGAATGCGCGAATATATATAAGAATTGCTAATATTGGTTTGCAATGCGATGAAATCCCATCTTGGCATTTCTGCTCTCGCAATTGCTGTGTATACTTATCGGGGAAGTTCTGTGGCGTGGTTATCAAATGAAAAAAAAAACATGGGAGTATTTTTTCTACTTCTCTACTACTATCAAACCTTGACATTTTGTGAAACTTTTTTCCATGCAACCTTTTTTAAAACATCCCCAACAACCACAATTAATTCTGTTATTAAACTTCCGAAACAAACACATAAAATCATCAACAGATGCAATATCACCAAGTAGATATTGCTGAATTGATCTTTATTTACCATTTTTCATTTAATTCTTTTTGGTAAACCTGTTATCTATCGTAAATACAGCACATTTGACAATGTTGTAGTGTGACTTTTTTGGCCTCACATTTTTGATATTTGTAGTTAGGCTCTTGGGGCTCTGTCAAACAAAGTTACATACAAAATATTGGTTGTAAATTGCAAAACATGATCATGTTGTTGGAATAACTTGGCATTTTACCACCCGTATATCATTCATTGTTGAGAATATTAATAAAATCATAAAATTTAAAAATCCGTTTTCTGAAATTTTTGTTGTAGCTGAATTCCAGGGACAGCATGACAACAGGCAAGAGAACATGGTCGCCTTTTAGTTAATGACAGGGTTTCTTAATAGGGGACCTCGTCCTCCTTGGAGGCCGCTGATCGTTATCTGGGAGCACGAACAAACAGATGGAAATGCGAATATATAATAATTACAATATTAATGTTTTTTTATAGAAGAGAAGAAGTAAAAGTGTTGAGAGTCTTGGTAGTTTGAAAAGCATTGGCAATGGAACATAAGAATGAACTACATTCTTTCCCAGGGATATACTATAAATGTAGCAATTTTCTTGTTCTTGTGATATCATTATCTTTCACTGCGTCGTCGTGATCATCCCGCTGCATAACAATTCTCGCTAACAAATAATTGACTGTTCTCCACCCGGGGTGTATATCCCTTGAACCACTGGCATCTGCATTACCAGCTGTATTGTTAATTACAACAAAAACGAGTATTTTGAAATAGTACTCTTTATTTTACGCGTATGTTTCGACAGTATTTCATATACTGTATATGGGTCGCGACCCAAAGCTGGCTCAACAAATACCTAAAAGTTATTGATTTTATTTCCTAGTAAATTTGGTGCTTGCGTAGTTTGTGCACCAAGATTGCGCACAACCTGAACATAGTATTGCAACAGGTTATGGTTCAGGTTGTGCGTCATTATGATGCACAGGTTTGACGAAAAACACTGTTACAAATATCGAGCCGGAAAAAAATTGCTCAAGGCTGCAAACTCCACACCCATGTAGAAATGATGGGCAATGACCCCAAGATGAATAATCACAGATAAAAAAAACTTTATGTCTGAAATCAAACTTGGGCCAAAAAGGTCCCCTTATCTGCCGGACTATAAACTGGATCATTGGGGACGGACTAAAAGTAGGCACTTGCAAATTAGGCACTTTTTTAGGCACTTATTTAGGCACTTTGGAAAAAAAGTAAAAAGGGCGTAATACCTTTTAAAAACATAATTAATTAGTTAAAAATGGTCAAATTAAATGTTGAAACGCAAATTGCAACGGGCAAACTCAATAGCAATATTTAAAACGCAGTATTAAAGGCAGTCGCACGCGCTTGTCACCACATATGCTAGGCCATATTTAGGCACTTCGAAAATAAATAAAATGGCATATTCACTAATAAAAGACAGAGAAATAAACATATTACCCACACTGATTAGCCTGAGTAAATATCTAAGAGATACACTTGAGTCTAGTACTGGAATTTAGAAATAATAAATGTTACCGGTTGTTAAATTTGGCCATTTTTAACTAATTAATTATGTTTTTAAAAGGTATTACGCCCTTTTTACTTTTTTTCCAAAGTGCCTAAAAAAGTGCTTAATTTGCAAGTGCCTACTTTTAGTCCGTCCCGGATCATTGTGATCAAGAAAATCAGTGCTGTGGGCCCATTGGATTTCGTCATTTACATCGTAAATGACGTAGACAATTACGAACTATTACGATTATGAAGGAATAATCGCTAAGCTTCAGTCACATGGTACACTGTTTCAGTGATACTGTACGAGTGTACGATACAGTGAGTGTACGCCATTTTGGTTGTTCCGACTTGCAGTGAAATTCGGGTTACACCGCGTCTCAAGAACGGCGCAACGTGGTAAGTCGAAGACTCCTTGTACATCTCTATCTATGTTTATTCTATTCTCATAGTTTCTTTTGGGAATGTATACATCAACAGTGCGGAAACTTCGTCAGTATCCAAACTGAATGAAATGAAGCAGTTCCTATCGTTTTGCCTCTCTTATTATAGGCTATTTATTATATAAATAAGCTATTTGAAAACATGTATGCATGAAGCATGAATAAAACTAAAAATATCAGCAAGATATGGGGACGATTAATTCCCAGATCACTATTGATTTTTGAATTATGGGTCATGAGCCCAGAGTTTTGAATTGCCACTGACATTTATTTCTGTTAGACCTCTGTAGGGGAAAAGTAGCCTACAGTAGCTATTAGTTAATCTTCAATGACAGCGTTATATGAGTCATGTTATTTATATCGTATAAACGACTGCACAGATAGTATTTCACCAGTAAGACAAACGATTTGTGCTTAAAATGAGAAAGATATCAAGGAGAAAGATATCAAATTTCGTACTTTTTGAATGAAGAATATCATATACAAACCTGCCTAATATATCTTTAGATTATGACCCTAACGTCATTCTTTGTCATGACATCCTTGAGGAATAATATTTCATAAAATTTACGGAATAGAAGTTCGTAGCATTCAGCATCATTAGAGCCAGGGCTTTGATCTGATAATGGGATATATTGTATCGAAATGTTAAGTTATGGGATAGATGATAACGCAATAAAACGAGTTAACTTTATTAGCATTAATTAGTCAAATAAAGTTCGTTACAAATTATTCTATTTTAAAACAAAATGACAAGAACTTTTGAAAAATATCATATGAATGTTTGGTATTATCTAGAAAAAATAAATACGACATAAAACGGCGATAACGTGCAATATGGACAATCCGGGTGATTTTTTGAAGGAATTTAATGCTCTGGGATTAGGTGTTGAAAACGTTACACATACCTTCGACACAACTCTTATGGCGTTTCGAATTATCGTTTGTATTTTGGGATTACTTGGAAATTTCATGGTGATATTTGTGATTCTTGTACTCCGGGAATATAAGAAAGCAGTAACGCATTGGTAAGTGGGGGATATGTTTATGACAAATATATAGTGAACAATATAGCGAGTAGTGTTTTTTGTAGATTTCGGACAGATCCAAAGCATAAGCATGCAGGAATCAATTGCAATTGAAAAATAAAATAAAAATAAATTCTTTTAATCTCGTCTCGAATACTTAAAACATATTGTGAATAAATACTATCGACTGATATTCGAATAATATTGTGAGGTTATCTGTGAACATAAACGAACTAGAACAAAACATTTAATTTAGAAGAAGATAAAACAGCTTATAATAGTATATATATATATAAGCTATATTTTAGATTTATATTAATAATTCTAATAAACCTATATGTAGGTATGTGCTTCAACTCGCGCTTGCCGATTCAATATTTTTGATGACCCTACCTTTCAAAGTAGTTGAAGATTATCATGATGAATGGATATTTTCTGCGTGGTTGTGCAAAGCAAAAGAAACAATCTTGTTCCTGAATTATTACTCGTCCATCTTATTCCTCATGGTTAGTAGTTGTAGTGGTTTGATGCTATTTAATCTAGACATTGATTTTGATTTGTTTAATTACTAATAGGTGATGAGCATTGACCGCTACATTGCAGTATGCCACGGATTCTCGAACATTTCACAGAAACTTCGGACAAAACCATCCGCTTATAAAATTACTGTGATCGTTTGGATAACTTCATTGATTCTATGCATTCCTATAATGCTATACAGCAATAAGCGGGGAATTCATGGCTTGTCTTGTAGATGCCAGTAAGTTTGATTATCATTATTATAGATTGTCGATGCATATTCTAAAAAATCGATTCCAGACTAATAAACGAATAAAGCATTCTCACAAATGCCTGAGGTAGTGTAAGAATAGTACTTTTTGGACGTGGTAATATATATAGCAATTCAACTATATATCTCTTCTAGATATGAGTTTCCGAGGCCGAGCAGATTACCAGAAGATATTTGTAAAGACGAAGGATTTAACACAAATGCTACCCTGGCTGATTGTATAGAAAAACAAATTAAAAAACAGAGTGAAACTGGTTGTACGAATCTTGATGACCAATTCAACCTGATTGACCAATTCAACCTGATTGGCCAATTCAACCTGACTGATCAATTCAACCTGACTTTAACTGACTTGTATTATTCGTATAGCAGTGGACAAGAAGATGTTACACCGTCGACAAATTTACCGTGAGTGCTAATAAGATTTAATTTCATTTCTATCTGAAGGAGAAGAAAGTTGACGACACATAATTAGGAAATTAAAAGGCCGCCCCACACATATTATAGCAATGAGTTACTATAATTTGCATCTCACAATTAAATTGCTACATATGTGTTCTGGTTGTCAATGTATTTCCGCGTCCTTTTCATTATTTATTATTACCAATGTCTGGGTAGACGACAGCACTTACAGAGAATGTTTCATATTAATTCAGAGGCGATGATGGCATGCAATTTTCAACAGCTGCAAAAATATCTGAAGCCGGTGTTGCTTATGAAATGGGATGTTCGTATGCAATGAACGGACAAGCGTGGACATCGTACTTAATATTCAACTTTGTGGTCATGTTTCTCCTGCCTTTAATTGTAAGTATCTTTAAGGTATTTTTGTACATAATGATTTGAAATATAAATTAAAAAGGGAACATGAGTTGTTTCAATTTGCGTTCACGACCTACCCACCTCAATACTTCTTTCGCAATGACTCGAACTGTTTAAAGTCGATGATGGCCCGTAACTTTTCTCATAGATTAGCCGCCATGGACCCCGAGTGAGTGAGAAAAAAAGCCTCTGCGTGTGATAACCGAATTCTATTATTTACCTTATCAGCAACAGAAATGAACATAATTAGTTGGCTGTAGCAGTTTTCTTGTCAGAACATACTGAAATATATTTCAGATCATGTCGGCCTGTTATTGTTTAATCGCAATACGACTCAAGCAATCCAGAGTTCGTCGTTCTAGTATCGCCAACGAAAGTACGTCTAATCCAAGCGCATCAGGTGGAAATACAAAGAAGGGGGAACGAAAACGCACTCGGTCAGCAGCTACCACAAAGGCCGAAAAGAATCGCATTCGAGTCACCTGCACCTGTCTTGTTCTCGTCCTGCTATTTCTTGTGTGCTGGCTGCCGTTCCACGTCGTCCATTTAGCCAAAATAAAAGGAATAGCAGATAAAAAAGTATGTTAAATTTATCTACTGCTGCAATTATTAATGCAATTAAATCATCATCCAAAATTATATACAGTTGCGTCCGGAGGAACTGTCATTTTTAAGATGTCAATTTTCATGTTTGCTTTCTTCGTTTTAGCCCGAATACTGCGCATGGATTGGTGCAGTATCCTCGTTGATTGCATATTTCAACTCAGCTCTCAATCCGTACATTTATAATTTTATTGGAACGAGATTTGGAAAAAGATTAAGGTATATGGATTTCAAAACTTAATATAATATTTATACTTTAAGGTAGATTTTAGGTGTATCAAAACAACGAGGAAAAGACTAATAAATCGTCACTTCAATGTGACATGTGACATTAACAATGTTTAACAATTTTTTTTTTAAATATTTCTTTAATTTTTATACATTTCTAACATTGATATCATCAGTGAACAAACAAGCTAGATTGTTTATCTATATAATGCATAGAAATAGCTTGCATCAGTTCATAACAGGAGATGACGTTGATAGCGTCAGATTTGACACATTTGACCATTGATGTGTAATACGAACACCCCTATTCAAGTGTTCCTTGCCAGGATATGAGTAACGGAGTCGCAGAAAGTACCATTCGATGTATTCGAGCTGAAAAAGATTTCATAATAAAAATTGAATAAAATATGTTATGATTAATTTGGTTGATACAGACTGCTTATATAATATATATATGCAAACGCACATTTTTGAGTCAGCACAAACTTTGCTCGATTTGGATATTTACTGTTCACGCAACGAAATTTCCCGCGGCTTTCCTGTTGTGTTGCATAAATTCGTCTAAATATTGTCATCTTATAATATTTTGTTGTTGTGATCGCATGGTCTTGATTCCGTGTCGCTGCCAAAAACACAATCAATTAACGTGAGTTTCTGCATTCTTCCCAAATATATATATATTTTTTATTTATGGCGATGCGTGGTTTACTTTAGAAGCTCTACAAGTTGAAAATGATTGCATTGCGCGAAGACATTTTTTCAGTTTAATTTTTTTTTTGCCACCAAATTCAATGCTGAAAAATCACTGTGGTGTTTGCATACCGATTGTTTAACCACCGTAGGTTATTTGTACAAAAGCTTTCTCGGATAGTTGAATTTGACCATAATGTACATGCCCATTATGAAAAGTGAAGTGGAGAAAAAATAGTGATGTAGGTAAGGCACATTGGAAGTGTACGAAAAGTGAAAAATGCATTGTGTCTGACCTGAAAATTAGTGGAAATTATGACAAAACATTTCCAAATGTTGTATGAATGCCAGAGCAAAAGATCTTTAAAATTTACATGCACGTTTCAAACAAACAGACATACAAATGCATGGTTTCGTTTTCATTCGGATTCATATGGGATAAAAAAAGTTCATAAAATTGCAATATATTGTTGTATAAGGTAAATCTATAAGTTGTTCCACAACATTTTTGCCGCTTCCATACGCATTGGAAACAGCTGCAAACTGAGATATGTCTAGGCTGCAAAACAATTGCTTAGTTTTACTTTTTATGATACGTTTTGACAAATCGCGCAATTGTACTAATGTAAAATTTATATACAGCGACCTTTTGAGAGGTTGGAAAGAAAGTATGCAGCCAGGGAATAGATCAAAAATTTGTTCGACGACTACATTCCGCCCCAAAAATACCGGAAATCTGGACAAAAGACTTGAAAAATTTAAAAAGAGAGGTCAATGATTAGAAATAAGAGGCTCTTTCCCACTAGTAACGAGAAAGAAGAAATATCGCAATTTGGAATGAAAATTTAAATTTTTCGAGATTAACAAATAATTTTATAGAAAATATGCGTTCAATGCGGCTTTCCCACCAGCAGGTCGCATGCAAATTTCACCCTTTTCTTCATTTAAGTCGTTTGGGTTTCTTCATTATAAGCTTTTTTCAAGGTTTATATCTTTCTTGCAATTGGTGTGGGAAGTCGCTTATTTTTAGTTTTTAAACTTGTTTATCGCAATAATGCATCAAATGCAGTTCAATCAAAGATACTGATTCTTTAATTCGAATGTACACACTAGTTCTACTTATTTAAAAACTTGTTCAACACCAGAAAAACGGCACTGACATTACTTGAGTACAATATGTAATATCAGACAACACTTAAATACGGATTTATTTTATATTCCTCCATGATATAAAATTTGAATTAATGGAACATGTCTTGCAAGATTGCTTAAGTGCTCCTATTAGCGGTTTCTCAAAATAAAATATTAATATGAATAAAACGCAAAAACTAAGCATGAATACGTTGTTTCATATAAATACAGGTCAGCGGCAGGATCGGTCAAAACATCAGTCAAAAAACGAACATCGTCTTTGTCGTCTGGAGGAGGAGCAGTTCGTTACACAAATAGAAAGCCGAGTCGTGGAGGAAATTCAATCAGCAACGGCGATACTATGATGACAAAAATTGATAGAGGGTATGTCATGTATATTTTGAGGAATATCCCGCTTTAGTATTAAAAGCATATTTAGTAGCATTGAGTTGCCTCAATCGCCGAAATTTATAATTAGCAGAAACTTGTGTTTTTGTTTCTTATAAGTTTAAAAAAGTTTACCAATGTAATCGCGCCAACAACGCAAAGGGAAAGTGAATATTGGAACAACATTTTAAGCCGACACATGGACATGTATCCCGTTCCATACCCGAGAGAATACTAACACTTTGTGAAAAAATGTAATTTAAGATAGGAAAAGGCGTGATGCAGATTAAATATCTTACACAAGCAAGCATGTACGTTCATCTTCATTAATTCGCACCAAGAAATAAAGATTCAATATATTTCAGAAAAACTGAAATGGAAAGTTTTAACACGACACCTATGGACGATGACGTGTTTAGAAATGGAAATCCCGATGTCCAAGAACCGTTAGTTTCAACGACGTAAGAATAAAAAATGAAAGATTGGATTACCGTCATATATATATATTATGTACCCATGTTTTTTGTATAGCCTACAAATGCCAACTTGAATTCTTGTATTGTAAATAATACAATATTGTAGTCTTTGTGAACACCACCAAATAAACCAAAATCCATTGTAGAATTTAAACGAGTTCCTGTTAAAGAAAAAACATGATGACTGTGGGGTAGAATACAAAGTTGTGATAGAAAACCATTCCCAATTCTTCTTTGTCTCCGTGATTTCAGAATGTTTAGGTTTTGTCAGGTCATTCCTCGAGACTAAAAGCTGGTATATATTATTGTACCAAGTTCGCTGGTGCCATCACATATATTAGAGCCTTGAGTTATTTTTCGATTGAAAATGTTACCAAATATACTTGCGTGATGAGTACAGAATAACATTTGGCAACCGCTTTCACTTTTCAACCATATATGACACGAAATACAGTCTTAGATCTTAGACTCTCATATATATTTTAGAAAATTCAGTAAACTGACGAGCCTAACAAGCAGACACGATGAAGTGTAAGGGAAATTATTATCATCCATCAATCATCTTTGGCAACTTATTGTAGGAAATTTCCACATTTTCGCATATATATAAATTTAAATCAAGGCCCTGAGCCAGCAGTTCATTGCAAACGAAATTTGGAAATGAAATTGAGATGTATAATTTCAGAACTTCTTTTCATTCAAAACACCTGCCAACTAAGAAACGAGAATATCAGTCAGAGACCGAAGACTTACCGATCGAAAGGTAAGGGATCCGCCAAAACAGCGCTCTCACTCCATAGTGACACCTTGTGTCCCATCACTAATTAATTAATAACTCGCAAATTATACGACATAATTCGCCTAAAATCAATAGGCTTCTGGTCCGAAATATGATGAATGCACATGCGAAATCTGGAGCGATTCAATCTCGCTTTCGTGGGATAAAGCGTGCATCTAACAGACAGACAAACAGCCAGAGAGACAAATACCTATCAACATACTTACCGATTAAAATCGATAAGTAACAATATTATTTCACAATGAATTGAAAGAAATACGCCTTTGGCTACAGTAAATACCCCATGATCACGCAGGTCTTAATCTGACTTTTTTCTGGACATTTATAGTTGCAGATGACACATGCTGCAGAATATTGACTGAACCTCATTTTAGTACAAAATGGGATACAAAAGAGATTTTCAACTTATTGGTGGCCGCCAATTTTAAATACCAATATAGGACAGAAAAGTCTCATTGAAAAGTTATAGCTATCGCTCAGCACAGTGGTTTCCAACCGCCGGTCCGCGGACCGCTGCCGGTCCGCGAAGCTTTTTTGCCGGTCCGCTAGATATTGCGTTGTTATGTTGTTTTTATGCCGTCTTAATCGCTTTACCGAATGCGAGATTGCGTTGGTTTATTACGTTTTGGCTTTCTTTTCCGTCCATATATTTGAACATAGCTCTCCTGTTTGATTTTATATAATCGGAATCGAAAATTTAAGAATCTAATAAGAATCGAATACTTGTAAGTAGTCATACTTAGCATCCATAATTGCGACATCTTGGCGCCAAGTAATCACACTTTTCGCCTCCGATTCATCGCGAAAGCGCTCCGTTAAATCTCGCAAGATCCAGAAACCTAAAAATCGGCACGCGTGCTTTTTCTGTTCTGCATGCTTTTTCTGATTAATATGACCATTCATATAAAACGCTATGGAAATTTCTCTGTTTAAACCAGAAAACAGTCAAAAACAGTATAATATTCCAGTTAGAAACGAACTTGCTGCGACCCTGCAGGTGGTCACGTAACGCGCAAAAAAGCATAGGCCGCTGAGATCTTTCCCAGTCTCTTGAGCAGGCACAGTAGGATTTTAAGCCTGGTGCTAAGTTACCGACGACTTTGTCATTGTGATGTAAATTCATTTCGTTTGAGGCGTCGATCAATTGCAGAGGGATAAATATGATGAACCCGACGAAAAAGATAAAGCTTGATTCAAGTTTTGATTCTACTTTACATTCCAGATTTAAAAAAGAATCACTGTCATAATTTTGGATATCTCTTGCTAACGAATACTCATTGCTAAGTAATCGAGCAATCAAACTGGTGTCCGTATTTTCAACCAGTTACTTATACGCTATGCGAAAATGCATTTTATTACTCGCTTCAATTAAAACGAAGCAAAGAAATCGGCTGCACTCCACTGCCGAGCTACGTGTTGCAGAAACTTCTTTGAGGCCTCGTTTGCAATTCTATATTGGAAACGAAACAGCAGCAAAATTCTCACTAGAGTTAACTGTGTTTGTACATGATTTAGAATGTACACGTTTTTTATGTGAGTTGTTTTATGTGTGCCTTTTTTAGGCATAATGAGTGCCCAGCACTGCATTTCATTACGCAAATATATGGTATTACCTTACGTTTCACCCACTTCAATTTTTGGCCGCCCCATCATTTCATAGTTTTTCTCCATGTGGAATGTTTTTATGTGCCTTTTTTGTCTAGAAGCATATTGAGTGCCCGACATTGCATTATATTACGCAAATATATGATATTATTTTTTACCGGTCCGCGAGTACAATTAATTAATTTTATCGGTCCGCCAGGCTAGAAAGGTTGGGAACTACTGGTTAGCACATATACCATGATCAAAATGAACAGAACGTGACAATAGTCCGGCAGATAAGGGGACCTTTTGGGCCCAATCTTGTTTTCAGACACAAAGTTTTTTTTATTTGTGATTATTCATCTTGGGGTCATTGCCCATCATTTTTACATGGATGTGAAGTTTGCAGCCATGAGCAATTTTTTTTACGGCTTGATATTTGTATTAGTGTTTTTCGTCAAATCTGTGCACCATAATGGCACACAACATGAACCATAACCTGTCACAATACTATGTTTAGGTTTTGCGCCATCTTGGTGCACAAACTACTGAAGCACCAAATTTACTAGGAAATAAAATCAATAACTTTCAGGGTATTTGTTGAACCAAGATTTGGGTCGCGACTCGCGACACATATATATGGAAATACTGTTGAAACATACGCGTAAAATAAAGAGTACTATTTCAAAATACCCAATTTTGTTGCAATTAACAATACAAGCCTGCTAATGCAGTCGGCAGTGGTTCAAGTGGTTATACACTCGGAGGAGAACAGTCAATTATTTGTTTGCAAGGATTGTTTAACAGCGGGATGATCACGGCGATGCAGTGAAAGATAATGCTATCACGAGAACAAGAATGAGAAAATTGCTACATTTCATAGTATATCCCTGGGAAAGAATGTAGGTCATTCCTATGTTCCATGCCAATGATTTTCAAAGTACCAAAGACTCTCAACACTTTTGCTTCTTCTCTTCTATAAAAATACATTGTTATTATATATTCGCATTTCCATCTGTTTGTTCGTGCTCCCAGATAACCGATCCGTGGCCTCCAAGGAGGCCGGGGTCCCCTTTAAGGAAACCCTGTCATAAACTAAAAGAGACGACCGTGCTTCTCTTGCCTGTTGTCATGCTGTCCCTCGAGTTCAGCTAAAACAAAAAATTCACGAAAACGGGTTTTAGATTTTATGATTCCATCAATATTCTCGACAATGAATGATATACGGGTGGTAAAATGCCAAGTTATTCCAATAACATGATCATGCTTTGACCGAGCCCCAAGTGGTCTAACTACAAATATCAAAAATGTGAGGCCAAAAAAGTTACACTTCAACATAGTCACATGTGCTGGCTGTATTTACGATAGATGGTTTACCAAAAAGCATTACATGAAAAATGGGGAATTAAAGATCAATTCAGCAATATCTACTTAGGACTTGGTGATATGCATCTGTTGATGATTTTATGTGTTTGTTTCGGAAGTTTAATGACAGAATTAATTGTGGTTGTTGGGGATGTTTCAAAAAAGGTTGAATGGAAATTTTTTTTCACAAAATGTCAAGGTTTGAGAGTAGCAGATAAGTAAAAAAATACTCCCATGTTTTCTTCATTTGATAACCCCGCCACAGAACTCCTCCGATAAATATAAGCAGGAATTGCGAGAGGACTAAATGCCAAGATGGGATTTCATCGCATTGCAAACAAATATTAGCAATTCCTAGATATATATATTCGCGGATTCCCATCTGAACAGTGTGGAAAAGATTATACCTATCTACACACTTGAAAAACTATGTCAGATGAGCGTCATATTATCGAATATCAGTAAAGTAATAGTGCAATTGGGAAAGACATATAAGGCGGAACTTTCAGTAGTATTCAATCAAATAATCTTATTTTAGAATATATATTTAAAAACATTTCGTCACGCCAACCGCAGTCCGAAACTTTTTGTCCCTGGCTGAGCTTAGATACCAATTGGTACTCATGTAAACTGGTAAGAGGCACGTGATGGAGCAGATACTATGAGCATCCATCCTCCATCTGTCATTTAAGTGGGTACTGCTGTTTTATTGCAGATGATACTGATCTTTTTGTATTAAAGATTCACTGGCATCACCGATTTAAGAATGTCAAGTGATGGATATAAATAAACCAGTTGAAAACTAACACGCAATATTATAAAACTTACTTCCAACATGCGATTTGAATGAATGGAAAAGCTGAAAGTAGTATTCTTTAGAACAGCATACAAAGTCTATGGAATGAAATAATACACAAAAGCTCGTCAAAAACCTATAGCTCAATAATCAAATGGAATTTGATGCATGTGCGCAAAAATGTGCGCGTTTCTACGTACAACCGAAGCACGCAGGAAAATGTGGTTGATGTACTAGTGATCAAAATGATTAACTCAACTATGTTGGCATAACAGGTGCACATCTCGGTTTCGCATACGCATACTTCTATCTTCACAAGGATATATTAATTTGGCCAAAGTCAATGCTGCACCTGAAAGGTTCTGGGTCTTCGAAAAGAAAACACGTTACACATCGTTAGATACCAGTGGGTGGTTTTACATGGCCTTGTTCGGAGTGAAAGACGAGGTCAAATATTCCAATCCATTTCAACTAATATAATATTTCCCACCCTTCTTCCGGATGAATCAAAAAAATTATGCAATGACCTCAGACTAAAGTATTTTTCAATAAATTCGTCATTTTCTACGACGCAAAATTTACTGTAACTTATGGACACTAGAGTTTAAAAAAGTTTTCCCCCGACTGACCTGAACCCTCCAAAAACTAATTCTGGCTTTTATCTCCAGAGTAAAAATAATTCTTGACTTGAAGGTAACATAACTTTGGCCGTGCGATCTTTAATAATTATATGAAAGTATACTTTAGGTAGCCTTTGGGGTTCTTTCCCATTTCAGAGGTTTGAAATACCAATCCCACTCGCTACTGAATTTTTTAGACTATTAGCAAACGATTTCGTGTTGTACGCCAGACTATATAACCGTGTCAGAAAATTGGCTCATAACTATATAAAATCCGCTGGCGAAATTTTTGATTCAAGCACAAAACATAACGTTGCTGGTAATAACAAGTCAAAAAACGTGTTTCATCTCCATTTATCACTCCAATATCAGCAAAACCCCATATGCTAATGCAAAATAGGTTGAAAACCTAAAGAGACTTACCAAACTTAACGTATTTTATACGATAAACATACAATGATTTTGTACCACCAAATATATTGATAGATCAATCAAATATTCAAATTACCATTCAAAGACAAGTTTGTCTTATCGATTTGTACGACGAATTGTGTCTGAATGACTGAATATCGACGCTACGTCATTCACAAGCTTTAGTATAGTTGGTTTTAGTCTGTTTCAGGGTAGGTATACAAATTACGACCGATAAATGGTATTATTCGTTTTTATATGTAGGCCTACATTCTGTCGGTCAGACAACTGCCTCCTTACAGTGGTGATAGCTTAAACGTTTATCGGTCATCGAAAGTGGTTTGAATAGAAGAATTCAGAATGCAATATTTTTAACATCGACTGTGTATACGAACATCATCCAACAGATTTGATCTTTCATTGAGATTGATGTGTGTCGAAATGAGATTTCTCATATATTCCGAATCGTCGACGAAAAAAAAAATAGATAGACTGCATTGAAACCTGTGGCATGTCAGTTTTTTTCATCACGGTGGATAATAACTATACCACTCACTGTAATGTATCTCCATGGAAGTTCATGATAATGACTTTCTAACCAAGGCATTTTACCATATGACTCCTGTGAGTGCCGAGACTGAGCTGATGTCTCGAGCCCATCACACTGACCACGTTTGGGTTGTTAATATTGGTGGCACTCTACTTCCAGTTTCGGCGAGCTTGCTAAAACTAGTAGCTTCAATGATTTGTCCACGCATTGAATTGAAATTTTAGCCTTTTAGTACCAGTGAACAACTCTAATAACAGACTTCCTTGGTTACTCTCGTAATGTTGGCTAAGTGGCAAGATGAAAACGGTGACTTAAAAATCAATCAACCGCTCAAGCCTTTCAGCTTAGACGGATTTTAGCCACAATTGTGAATATTATTGGTCATTTTATCTGCAGGATGTTTTAGTTTAGTTGCAATATTAAAAGATTAGTCCCGAAAAAGCTGTCATAGACTAGGTAAAAACTACTAGTACTTTGAACTGATAGGTGTTTAATTAAATATTTTGAATCAAGATGCTAGTGAACATGTAAACCAGATTGTAAGCGCAAACTGAAAAAAAAAACTTCAAAAATAGGCAATAAACGTTTTGCAAAGATGAAGTATAATAAGAATATTTCTGGGGTCAATGGTCGTGAAAACATCCAATGTCGGACGTACCTAGCGTGGACGTTGTTTATGAGTTTAATAGAATACCTTTTGCATAATAAGCTCCACATATACCCGTTCTAATTCTTAAAGAAAAGTTTAGTGACCATGTTATTGAATTTATGTGGCTTTCACATCGAATACAAAAATATTTTTATACAAAATATAGAAACACTAATAATTTCCGGGAATAAGAAAGATGGATGTCTTGAATTACAATTCCTAATCAGAACGTTACGCATCGCTTACATAGCTCAGCATAAAGCACGCCGATTCACTTCGTGAACTTTGATCGATTCATTGTATTGCCGGCCGGTCGACGCCAGCGAAACACGCACTGTATTGCGACACTCGACTTTACCAGGCCTCTTTAACGCAACGCGGATGTGATTTGACTAATTCCTTCTTGTGCTTAGTTAGGTTAGCCGGTTAAATTTAAGTGTGGTAACATATGTGGATTATAAATAACGAAAACATCCAACGTGTTAATTAACATTTTATTGTACTGTAATGCAAGCCTGGAAGTACCATAATCTGTGATTGTAAAGGCCAGGCCAGTGTAGTAAATCATACCAACATGTCCGGATAATTTGACCTCTGTTGCCTCCATTTTCAAGGATAAGTAGATAAATAATTTATCGCATCATTTCTCGAGCAATTCAGAACAACCAACAAAGAGTGCAATGTCTTGTGTTCCAAGCATGAATGCATATGTGGCATGTCATACATGCCATAAAGATACTGCTTCATCTGCTCAGCCTGCAGTCACGACAGGTGAGAAACTTTAAATTATATAAGTCAACTAATTACATTTAAAGATTTAGCGAAACTATATGAAATTCACTGCTACTTTGTAGTAATTAGTTCATGTTATTCATACTGATTTTTTTGCTTGCTGTTCGACAGTATTTCCAAGATATAATATCCTTTTTGTGGTGTTCTGTTCAAGTTTCTGTTTTTTTCATACCATAATAAGTTTTGGAAACCACATGTAAAAGACGCGCCCGTCTGATGTTGATGCGGCGTTTTATGCTAATATGTTTGCCAATGGAAGCAGCTAGATATTGATCTAATCCAGTGTTTCCCAATCCGAGTCCGCGGTCTCAAATGAGTGCGCGGAGCGTTTGAATGAGTCCGCAACGAGCCAGAAATTCACTGCGAAACTTAACCATCAGCCATGTTACGATTTACGTTAGAATTAACATAAAACATAAAAAGCAAGTTTATTCACATGTCATCAATCGAGTCAATAATTACTTGATACTGAGCAGGGCTGCGCATATATTCGAATATTCAACTACTAGAATAGCAATTTACTATTCGAAAATTTGGTAACAGGTGACGCGACAGGCCACTTGCGCGTCGCTTTAATCAAACGATTGGATTTCACAACTCACTTTCGGATTTCCGACGAGAACACGAGTCGATACTGGATAAATACCCAAGTGATTTTTTTTGGTAGGTTACAATGGTGGCAATCTAAATTTTCTAAATTGAAAAGCGGCAATACAAAATACTAAAAATAAAACGGAGAACACCATGAGTTTTGTTTTATGATGGTCCGAGACAGATTAAAATCGCTTTTTTATACATTGCAAATCGCAAAATTTCCCTTAGGATTTTTGCTTTACTGCCTCAACATTTCTATGTACAGTACTGGAGCGCCGTAAGTGTTGTACGAATAGCTCAGATTTGTTGAATTCACAAAAATAAGAATCAAAATATAATCGGGCACTTTACCACGCATTTTTATGTCCACGGATTGTCATGATATTTTCTGAGTAGTATTGCTTTTATTTCGTCAACACAGCTGCAGATTAAAATGATCATCGAGGCGATCAATATTTTTTTGATTTACTAATATAGTTTAATTATGTTTTTAATAAGGACTAAATCAAGTTGTACGTTCTAGAAATTTATAGAAGATAGTAGGATTTTATTAACGGCGATAACAAATTCGCAAGATTGCAAAAAATATGTAACAAAACTAAATATAATCACGCAATATATTCTCACATTATTATGTTCGCAGATTGCCGTGGTATTTTAAAGAAGTAATGCTTTCATCTTGTCATATGTTGACGCAACCACGAGTGACCATGAACACAATTAAATCAAAAATAAATTTTAAATTCTCGTCGTTGTCATGGATTGAATATTGTGCGACAGGAAAGACCATTTATCCACTAAAAAAGTCGGCTCTTTCAACAAAAGCGTAATTTCGGCGAATTTCCGATTTTGAAATTCGTTGAAATTCTGTTGTGTTTGGTTTTATTACTTCTTGCAATAAACGCACGTTGAGTCCGCAAAGATTGTCGCCGATGTCCGCGACCAAAAAAGGTTGGGAAACGCTGATCTAATCATTCAGCGTTATATATCCTATTTTCATGCACCAATAAAGATAACAATGTATGTTTATGTTCATATCATTCAGGTATTAATTGCGACCATGGAAACATTGCAAAACAACAAACGATAAAGGATGTTCCAAATACTGACAGCCCATCCCTTTTTCGACATGTTTTTCGTTATAACGTACAGCAAGCATCATCAGCGCCATCAAGTCCAAGACCTGAGTAAGGTTTTTTCATAAATCCATAATATAATTTGAAGGAGTATCAAAACATACAAACCTGTTGAAAAATTGATCTCTTCCCTGTAAATTCTACCTTGTTCTGGAGTGATTTTTAAATTTCAACGAAGTTTAAAAAATGAGATTCCACAGGTAATGGGTAAGTTGAAATTGTAAATCTGGAATTTCAAAAAAAAAAATTTTTGAATTTGATACTAAAATTATGGTGTGCATAAAAACACTTCGGCGCTTCAAAAATAGTATGCACAGGCATATTGATATTAATGAATTCGGTCCATATGTGCAAGAATATTTGAATTGTCGATAAAAGTAAGACCATTTTAAGATATTTGGCAGGGGTGTATCTTTATGGAAACTTAATTTAAAACGAAAGATGTTTTTTTTATTTAGGCACAGCAGTAACAATGGTTTGTTGGCAAAGATAAAATTGAGAATGCGAACGTATTCAGGAGATTCTGAGTCATCCGAGCGGTAGAACGTTGAAGAAACAAATATTTATTTCGTTAATTCAAAATTGTTTTTGTCTCTTTTTTAGCGGATGTCGCATTTTGGTGATTCATTCACGTAGATACACATTTTACCTGTTGTAATTATTGTACTTTTTTGCGACAATAACTTTTCTTATTTATTGAGCATTGTAAAACGTTCATTCATTTTTAAAGCTGTGAGTTTGTTCGGGGGGAGTGTTACTAAGTTTTTTTATATCCACTTTGAAAAAAACAATAATAAGATGCATGCAATAGGAACAATTCGTACAACTTTAAATAAACACAAATGACACAAAAATCCAAGACCAAACCAAACATTGCGGTATTTTTTAAGTTAACTTCATCTCGGAAGTAATTTTCAACAGATTGCAATATAATCCTAAATTTGGGGCATTGTAAACTGCACAATTTTATAGTTATAGAAATATTGGTTCCAAAGAGCTTCTAAGGCACATAATATCTTTTTTCAAAAGCTTGAATATTATTGGTGTTTATGTAGCACTCAGTATCAAATGTGATGTTTCTACACAATAACTCTTTGTACATAGATCTGAATTTTCAACTGTACTTTTCAGCATTATGTGGAAATATCATAAATATTTTCCAAGTAAACGTCTTAAATTACTATGAATAGCTAATAAATGATATCGGGTTTTTGGTTACTTTTTCCGCTATTTCGTTAACCCTAATTTCACCCCATTTGGGTTTATTTACGACGCGTTGCAAAATTTCCCACACATTGTACGCTGTTACTACAGCAATTTCAAATGAGTGTAGTCGTATGTTTTCATTTGTACGTTTTTGGTTTCGCAACCGTATGAAATCCCAAAGTGACTGGCTGCGGATTAGCGTCTCATAATTAGGTTGTACCTGGAATACGACAAAAATAACTTATATCAAGTGCACTTGATAGCATGTTGCCTAATGTTGCGTAAAGTGCACATGTTGTAATCACGCCTCGGGTGCGTGGCATACTGTCGAAACATTGGCGAAAATACGAGCTGTGTCACGTGCGGATTCGACTTACGTAAGTTGATTCTTTGTCGTATTGTGATCGCTGAAATGGTGAATAGATAGGGTTTCGCCTACCCGATTAGAGTTTCGTAACACCGACTTTAGTTTATGTGTATAATCCAACATAGGCAACAGGCAACAAACTAAATAAAATAAAAAAAACAGACTCAAAACTCAGTGCCTTCAATACCGATATATACTTCAAATCGCTTGGCATCAATCATTGGCGTCAGATATACAATGGGGTTATCTTTAAATATTGTTTATAAATTTCCCGTCACTACCTTCTTTCTTTATTCAGTATTCACTTCTGTTTCAGTTTATTTTTAGTAATAAATTTTTATGGTGAGAAAATATATTCTCGTTTCTTTTTATACCTCTTCTACTATCATTAGGGAAAATGACACAATAATCAGCCTTTGCGTCAATTTCCGCAGTTATGCCCGACGTTCTATTTGATTTAATTCAAAATCGAGCATCACTGCTGAGTTGGGTTGTATTTTGTTATATAAACATATATTATGGATGTGGTGTCTGTTGACACAGCTGATCATCACTGCAGCCTTGAACTTTACAGGCATCATTTTCATACTAACAAAGTGCAATTGAGTTATTAATTGGTTAACTAAGTTCGAATCAATCAAATTACTTTATATATAAAGATTCTCATATCATATGACAATATGAGGTGTGCCCCTCCATATGCAAGATCAGTTTTTTGGGACTTCCTGAAGTATGTGCACCAAGATGGCGCACAACCTGAACATTGGGTGTGTACCAGGTTAGGGTTCAGGTTGTGCGCCATCTTGTGCACATACTTCGGGAGCGCCGTTTTTGTATATGTGGCAGCTCAGAATAATTTCAAGCGCTTTCGTGTCACATCTGAACTCACCCTCAAAGATTTCTTACAATTAGAAGATATTACCATTTTTGAATAGGAAATACCAATTTCGTGAAATATACTACGATGGAACGCGTGCCCCTTAACAACAATCTGTAAGTATTTCAGATTATTGTTATTTATAGGATTTGTAGAAAATTCCCACAGAATATGATTATGTTGAAGAGAAGTGCTCATTATCCGATCCTCGTGTAGAGTCGTGTTTACTATGCTGTTTTGCGTTGAAATCGACGACAACAGAGCTGTAATTATACTACTTTAGTTATAATGTAGTATGGCAATATTTAACCTTCCAGTTTTGTGAAACCCTATCAAATAATCTATCCACTTTGTAATTATAGCACACAAAGTACATATTGAACGTTGTAGAAGATTTTAACATGGTAAATCATTATCAAATCATCATGACAAAATCGAGAGTTGGCACTTATCTAGAGACTAGGAGAGTTTCTTATCCAAAATCCTTGCAGTAACAAGTAACATGTAAACCTCTACCTGGCAAAAACTGACTTGTATCATTTCGCAAACACACTTAAATGAAGAATAGAAAAAATACACCCAAAGGACTTTCTTATCCTAACTTGAATAAGTATGAAATTATGGCAATGAAAGAGCTTGAACAACGAGCAGCAAGGGATATAATTTTAGTTCCACCGACAATGGAGGTGGCATATGCATTCTATCCCGAAAAGACTTGTGTCGCTAAAGGTATGTGTCAATTAATCTACAAAATGACAAGCTGTTGTTCCGACAGCCATCAAAAACAAGAGAGCTATGCTCAAATATATGGACACGTCTAACTCATAAATGTAGTAACGCAAGCGATCCGAGTCACACTATACTATAACACCAGTTACCGGCACTGCGTAAATCACCGTTCCCCACAAACAAATCTTAGCGAAGCGAGAATTACGTTCGCTTCTCAGCTGTCCTCGCGAAATCGCCACAAGGTGCCGCTATTTTTATTCTGATCACATCTTCGCATTCAAAAAACGAATCTCTTAAAGTTCACAGAAATTTTTAAAATAAATAAAAGTAATAGCCTTCTGAATCAATCTTCAACTACTGAAATTGTCAAAGCAATTGGTCCAGTATTCGAAGAGAAAAGCGATTTCATCATGACGAAGGAGAAGAATAATAACAACAACATAATATTGAAACGATTGTTATGTACACTGACGTGTCCAGTAAACCTGGGCAAAATCGAAATTAAGTTACCAAACCATGCTCAAGAATGAAGAAAGCAGTGCGTGACAGAGGGCAAATTATTCAACGCGATTTCTCAGAAAAACCCCAAAACCTGGCCGTTTAGGCCTCAAACTAAAGGTACGTGAAAATCACCCCAATCGCTCTATAACATAGATTAATTGCACTGCAACAGTGAAACGTTCTGCTTTTGTATACTAAAAATTGACCCATTTCCCATGTAAACGAGTAATACTTGCATAATATTTATAAGACAGTATGAATTTACTCAATCATATGCAAAAAAGGACAGCCAAATAAATAGTCAGCATGGACAAAAGGGAAACAACCTGAATATCAAAACCAGCTAGCTTAGTTCTCAACAATTTCCTTTTTACGAGAAATGTTACTTTTAAGGGAAGCGATGGGTACCAATGTGACACCTAAGTATGCCGATATCTATGGGTCTTAATTGACGGACATTTCCTTGGACTTGGAACTTGTTTCCCTTACATTTTACATCCGAATATCATGTTTACTTGCGAATGCTCACAAAATACTAAATAGTATCACTCGTCACATAAGTATTTTCCACCCTTTTCTTGTCACTTTAAACATGCCACGAAAAATAATTTATAAAAGCCTTTTCATCTGAATTAGAAAAGCCTGTTCAACCAACGAGTCTTGGATAGGGATGGCGGAATCGACTCCGGATTCGATTCCAGAATCGATTCTCCGTGGAATCGATTCCGATGCATTGAAATCGATTCTTTGGGTTAAAACTTGGATTGCAAACAAGGTATAAAGTTTTGTGTCAAGTTCTTCACATATATGAATAAACTGGTATGTGGAATTGCTACAACGCTGAAAACTTAACTATATTTTTCTACAATTTCTTCCTCGTTCGTTTGCGCGGGTAAGGGCACATGCCACATTTTGACCATTTCAAGTACATTTTCTCTTACTTATTGCGTTCAAAACTCCTATTTACTTGAAGCAAGGGACATCACAAAAAATAAAAAAACTTGTTGCAGTTTGGAGTGGTAAATTTTACACCTCAGAGATGGAAAAGTCCGCAGTCCAACAGACCAGAATAGCAAAAAACCTCTTTCATAGAAATAAGGAAGTATATATGTAATGAAAAACTGATCATGGGTATCATGATGGTATGGGTAGCTCTGAAGTGACGAGCGGTGATATTGATGAATTAACCAGGTAGTTGAAGGCTTCTCTGAGATATCAAAATACTTGAAATCTTGAATGACAGAATCTTGTTAAATCTGCGACCCACGAAGAATGTTGCGATGGTGGTAACAAAACAAAAAAGACGATTCCAAACATCGCAGTTGTCGTCCAAATGTACCTCTATGTCCCAGCAGCATCCGCTGTATCAGAAAGATAATTTAGCTCAAAAGAGCTTCCCGTATTCAATTCCCATCGAGCTTACAGGAAGACATGTGAATGAATTGAACTTTTTTGCCATGATAATAATTTTTTGAACACGAAATGAACATTTAGGTCGTTGTGTTATTATATATTTGTTAGAATTCATTTTATTGTTCTTGTTATGAAAATATATCTTTTATCATTACCTACTGGTGTAACTGCTAGGAAATTTTGTGGTTGAAAATTGTAATTTTCCGCTAGAAGGCTATTATGTTTATTTATTTCAAGATTTTTTGTGGGCTCTAAGGCATTCGTTTTTTTTTGTGCGATTTTGTCTACTGTGACAGATTGAAAACCCATACCACTTAGTTTAGGCTTTCGTTTCCATATATTTAAACCTTGCTCACTTGTTACTTATCGATTTTAATCGGTAAATATGTTGATAGGAATTTGTCTGTCTGTCTGTTAGATGCACGCGATATCTCACGAAAGCAAGATTGAATCTGCTTCAGATTTTGCATGTGCATTCATCATATGTCGTACCAGGAGCCTATTAATTTTGGATGAATTATGTCGTATATTTAGCGAGGTATTAATTAATTAGTGATGGGACACAAGGTGTCACTATGGAGTAAGAGTGCTGTTTTGGGATCCCCTAACTTCCGATCGATAAGTCTTCGGTCTCTGACCGATATTCTTGTTTGATTTGTTAGTATTGTTTAAATGGGTAGATTTTCTAAGCTATGTCGAGGAATCGAGAATCGGAATCGAAAATTTAGGAATCGGATAAGAATCGAATACTTTTAAGTACTCATACTTGGCATCCTTAGTCTTGGAGTTCAAAGACAAATCCGCCTAGCCTAGATTATCTTATCGAAAATGCTCTACACCAAGGCTGCCCAACCCGCGGGCCGCATGCGGCCCGCCGAACTGTTTTTTTGCGGCTCGTCCTATAAAGTTTGTAAGCAGACTTTTTATGTTTTTACTATGTTATATATCAATATATAGGGTTAAGTACGTTTCTAATTTTGGTGTGATTATTTCTGCCATCTATCTACATTCAAATGCCGGTTCTTATTATTACGTATGTGTCAAGTCTTGCACCCTGATGGACATCGACGTCAGTTTTATTTCTCGCACAACTGAGCGTTCTGTTCGACGAACTCGTAAGATATTGTGCGATCATTGAGGACGAACGCTAAGCGCAATTATAGGAATGAATTTGGGGCCTAAATTTGCGAATCAATTTCATTCTGATTGTTTTTTTACGTGTCTGCTTTGATCGTCTTTATCGTCAGCGTAAAATAATATGTCAACAATATCTTTGTTACTGGTCCTGGGACTCGTTGTCCTTTTATGTTTGTATTTTTTCCATCAAATGTTTGCGTTAAGATTTTGGAAATATCGTCACTGCGTCTCCGTCAATATTTCTGATAAAATTGATTTAATGGCATTGCTGCATATTGGTCACGAATCAGTATATATAGGCTATTCGCCCAGAAATATTTGTAATGTTACTTCATTGAATATTTGTATTGGTGTTTCAAATTTTACGAAACGACCCACTTAAACTTGATATTCCCGGAACAGTGGTGCACATTATGCTCATTTAAACATTGTCCCCGCCCCGTATTGCCATATATTCGAATTGTAAACTACTATTCTAATATTCGATTAGATATTCGAATAATTTACCATCCCTACTCAGTAACCACGAGACGAAAAAGGTTGGGCAGACCTGTACACTAAAAGACTAACCATTCGAAGCAAAATTTAAAGTCAACAAGAATCCGGACTTATTGAGGTGTGCCAGAAAGTCATGTACTACCTGCAAGCATTCCAAAAGAACACGCAGCAAGAAAACACAAAACCATAGGAATAAATAAATCATGTGCAACTCGGAAAACGTTATATATTTGAGAAATTACAAAAAGCGTTGCATGTAATACATTGGAGAAACGGGAAGGCGTCTTAAATACTGAATCATTGAACACATTAAGAATGAAAACCCAAAACGAATAACTTGT